CTACAACAGTGGTGGCCCACAGGCAGGCAGATCTCTTTCAGTTCTGAGTTTTGAGGCTAGCCTGGTCTACAGGGCGAGTTCCAGGACAGCCAGGACTACACTGAGAAACTCTGTCCTGAAAAAAAAACCCAGAAAGAAAGAAAAATAAGGTGCCTGGGAAGGTGGCTCAGCAGTTCAAGAGCACTGGCTGCTCTTCCAGGGAGGACTGGGTTTGATTCCCAGCACCCACCTGGCTGCTAAAAACCATCTTTATTCCAGTTCCAGGGGATGTGATGCCCTCTTCTGGCCTCCATAGACACTGCACACACATGGTGCAGACATGCACACAGGCAAAACACCTACATTGCATTTAAAATAAGAGGACTCAGGTTTGTTTCCCAGAACCCATAGCAAGTGGCTTATAGCAGCCTGTAACCACTTGGACCCAGCAATTCAAGACCAGTATTATTTCTTGCATGTGTCTTGTATTTTTCCCTGCCCCTGGGCTGTTAGGAAGCAAATCCTAGATATCATACATCTTCCATAAGACATCCCCCCCCCCCCCCCCCCCCCCCCCCGGGTTTCTCAGTGTAGCTTTGGTGCCTGTCCTGGATCTTGCTCTGTAGACCAGACTGGCCTCAAACTCACAGAGATCCACCTGGCTCTGCCTCCCGAGTGCTGGGATTAAAGATGTGCACCACCACTGCCTGGCCCATATGATGAATATTACTCCATGTGATGATTTTCACATTGACAGACAGGTATTTGACAGCTGCTCAGTTTTTCAACTTTCCTACGTGGTCACTTTTCAAGGAGAGTTGGAAACAGACTGTTCTCAATGTGGAAAGAAGCAGCCATGAAGTGTCTTATGTCTAAACAAAAGCACATTCTTCACCCTCGTCCTTCCTGGGACACAGGTGTGGAGGCCACTTACTTTATAAAGGCATCATCCGTGAGCTGAGGACACGCTGATGTCTTTGAGTCCTAGGTCCTTGACATGTCAGTGTGATTCCTGTAGCAGAGGCTTAGTTAGCCCTTCTCTCCCTTTTTGGAAAATTTCTGAACTATATAAAAATCACTTAAAATCCTGATAGACACATTTTGCCAAGAATGTCAGTTATCTCTGACAGTTTGACATTCACCTTTAAATATTAGATTGTGTAACCATAATGCCATTCAGGGAAATAAGGTGGTGGGCGGCTGGTATTTCAAGAGTGAAATGGACTTGAGTTCCTCAGTGCTAATCATTGTTCTGAAAACAGAATCTTTAAGGTGAAATGCTAAGTAGGTAAGGACTAGTATTTTGTGAATAACTTAGAAATGAATACAATGTGATTTATGGGTTTGACTTTTTTTTATCAGCAGTATCTGAAGAATTTGTAGATTTCTTTTTCAAACACCCCCAAATGATAAAGGAACCCTGTTTTCTTTATCTCCTATTTCCACATCTCCTGGTCTAACCAGCCCATTTCAGCAGATGATGATTCTGTCATTCTAAGTGGCCCTCTCTTTGCCTCCCCTTGTCCTTGACTTCACAGCAGAGAGGAGAAAGACACCACTGGCTTCTGCTGCCCGTCTCCGTTGTGAATCCCTTTTCTGTCTGATTTAGTGTCTGTATGGTTCCACTGCAGCGTAAATTTAGTAGTTTATTACCAACTTGCATTTTTTACATTTTTCCTTCAGTTGGCCTTTAGATTCTCATACAAAATGAACTATGCTCAGGACTCCCGGGTATGATTTGGTGTGTAATTAGAGACCTGTTGTGGGTTGTACTAAAGACAGGAGCATTGATCTAATCTTGTTTTAACATGATTTAGGAAAGAGAATCTTTGTCAAGTAGATGCAAGCAGATTAAGTGCTGTTTGATTGCATCCTTTTGATACAGAACAGAAAAGATGTCTTTAGTTTCTAGAACTGATGACCACAGTATAAGTCACAATTGTAAATATTGAAGGTTTCTTTTGAGGTAAGCAGGCTGTGGTGCTTGGGATTGAATCTTTCCTGCGTGTTTTATCATCCTCAGCTCTCATTCTCCCTCTTTTCAAGTGATGTGATCCTCTGTTGTGTGACTGCCACAGTGGACCCTTCCCGCTGTTAGTGAACGTTAGGTTTTTTCTGGGGTTTGAACGTTAACACATATTACAGATAGGAGGTTTGGTGAAGATAGCTATATGTAGGTTGGCATGTACATGGGAGGAACTTTTTGTAAATGTAAGGGTATTTTGCTTGCATGCATATGTGTGGTGCCCAAGGAGGCCAGAAAAGGGAGTCTGATCCCTGGAACTGGAGTTACAGATGACTGTAAGTACCTTGTGAGTACTGAGAATCCGGCCTGCCCTCTGAAGAGCAGCAGTTTCTCCATCTCTCCACCCCATCAGTTTTCAAAAGAAAATGAAATCAGATCCTACTCCTACCAGCTGGGACTGGCTTTAAAAAAACAAACTGCCAGGCCATGGTGGTGCATGCCTTTAATCCCAGGACTCAGGAGGCAAAGGCCAGCCTGGTCTACATAGTGAGTTCTAGGAGAGCCAGGGTTACACAGAGAAACACTGTCTCAAACCAAAGAAAGTAAACTAAAACCATCACTGATGTGAAATTTGAATAAAAGTAAGTTTCATTTTAGGTTTTGGACTGGTAGAAGTAGAATCTGTTTTCCAAAGTACAGGTCCATGCGCCACCAGACATTGGCCTGCTTCTGTTTCATCTCCATTGATGTGTAGCTGGGGAATCAGATCTTTTTTTGTTTGTTTGTTTGTTTGGTATTTTTTGTTTTGTTTTTCAAGACAGGGTTTCTCTTTGTAGTTTTGGTGCCTGTCCTGGAGCTCTCTCTGTAGACCAGGCTGGCCTCGAACTCACAGAGATCCGCCTGCCTCTACCTCCCGAGTGCTGGGATTAAAGGTGTGGACCACCACTGGCTGACGAATCCTTTGTCTTTTCCTTTACATTTTCTTTTATTTTCATTGGGGTGTGTGTGTGTGTGTGTGTAGGGAGGTTACATGTCTGTGACTACAGTGCCTGAGGAGGCCAGTAGGCATCCAATCAAATGCCCTAGAGTTGGAGTTGGAGGCTCTTGTGAGCCACCTGCCAGGGTGCTGGGAACAGACTTGGGACATGTGCACGGACAATATGTACTTCCTCTCACGGAGCCATCTTTTTAGCCTTTCTGGTTTCCTTTTTTTCCTTTTTTCCTTTTTTGCCTTACTGTTTGGACCTTTTCTTTGTTAGGATATCTTCCCCCTTACTCTAATAACATCTTATTTTTTAAAGTTAGCTTTGAGGAAGAATGCTGGAAATTGAACCCGGGTTCTCATGCATGCTGAACACATGCTCTATCACTGGGCCATCTCTACTCCGACCCAGATCACTTTGTGTCCTGTCCTGGGTTGTCTCCTTATGTAGTCCGTGCTGACTCTCAGCGCCTGGTGTAGCCAAGACTGTCCTCGAACTCCTGGTTCTCTTTCCCCAGCCTCCCAAGACCCCTCTCCACCCTTGTCATATATATGCTTTGCATTTTTTCTCACCAGCGCCACATTTTTCTTTGGCTTTTACAGTGTAGAAGTGTATGTAATACACGGTGTTCATGAGTGTTCTGTGTTTATGTCCACTCATCTTCTGTGGTTTCTGGTCTGGGTCTCATTTGTAAGGAGACTTTTTTCTATCAAGTCTGTTTTCTTTGAGGCCTTCATCGCTTACATTGAGGTTTACTATCACTGGTGTTGATTTCCCCTCAAGACATAGGTACCTTTTGAAAAAGCTTTAACATGTTTTAAACATGTTTAGTTATAGAATTTTTTAAGGTACTGGGGTGGTGGTTCAGTCAGGATAAAACATGATCCCCAAACAGGCATACATACATGTATGACTTGACCAACAAGAAATTATGCCAGTTTTTCTTTGTGCATACTGTTTGAATGCTTTGAATCCTTATTGTTGCAGGTAGATTAGGGCCCTTCCTACCTAAAATTTCTATTGTAGAGTCATTAGTGGGTTAGACCACAAAGCAGAAACAGGACTTTAGAAATAAGATTTTAGAGCAGTAGCCTGTTTTTTTACTAATGTGGATTAATTTAGTATCCTATAAGTGAATCACATTACTCCGTGTGTACATGGATTCATGTGTGTGTGTGCATGTGGAGGCCAGAGGTCAACCTCAAATGTTGCCTTAGGAGCTATCATCTTTGTTTTTGGGGAAGGAAATTTGTTTGTAACAAGGTCTGTCCTGGAACTTGCTATGTAGATCAGACTAGTTTTGAAACAGGAAGATCCACCAGCCTCTGCCTCCTGAGTGCTAGAATTGAAGGCATGTGCCACCATGCCTGGCCTACCATGGTTTTTGAGGCAGGGTTTCTCACCAGGACCTAAGGCTTACTGGTTATGCTGGTTGGCCATGGGGCCCCTGGGGGGTCTGCCTGCCTGTCTTTGCTTCCTTGGTTTTGGTTAGGGTTACAACTGCAGAACACCATGCCTAGGTTTTGGTGTAGGTGCTGGGGTCAAACTCAGGTCCTCATGCTTGTATGGCAAGCTCATTACCGAGTAACATGTCTCCCCAGACCTGAATCTTACTACTATGAGGAGTTCTCAAGCTGTCTCAAGGCTGAGTGGTGTTTGAGGGAGAGAGTTAGAAGGACTGCCCTCTGGTTAGTCTTGATCCACACCTACATCTAAAGACACAGCTAAAGGGTTGGGCTTGCCGGAGCAAAGAATGAGTGAAAACAGTTGCCATAGATTTGCTCCAATTTTCCCCGTTGTAACTTGACACAAATCCATGAAATGATAGTTTCCTAGTTTGCAGAGAGAGCGTGCAAGTGGTCAGGGAGTGGGTGCGTATTATTAGTCTCTGAGTCCAAAGCGCATTCGCATTCCTTCGTAGGGTATACATTGTCTCTTCTCTACTAGAGTTAGTCTACATAGCATCTGTGTTACCAGAAGTGTGTCCAGTGGGAGAGCCCTTGCAAACTGTCTTGAATGTCCCCTGTAGCTCTTCCATGGGCCTGTGTCGTTTCCTTTACTTTTTACCTCAGCATTGAAAGCAAACATGAGGTTACAATCCTGGGAGGACTCAACGAATTTGTTGTCAAGTTTTATGGACCACAAGGAAGTAAGTACATGTGTGGGTATGTGTTCTTTTTTATCATCTTTACTAGACAGTGGAGTAAGTTTTAGCACTAGAACCAGCGTGTGGAGAAACCCTTGTCATTCATGCACTCATTCTCACAGATTCTGGGTTCTGTTACGGTGGCCACAGAGGTGTTCTTCAGGAAGTGCGTATTCTGTTCTGAAGTAGGAAAAAAAGGAGCATGACTATCTCTTATCAAATAATTGAGTGGTGGTCAATAGTATCAAGTAAGAGAGTGACTATTTGCTTAACTGAATATTTTAAAGGAAAATACGTGGCATGGTTTTCTCTTTGTTTCTGGTACTGGTGATTGACCCCAGGCTTTGTGCATGTTTGGGAAGTGCTCTACCGCTGAGTTACATTCCCTGGTCTTCCTATCTTTACTTTTAAAAGTTTTCCTTTGGTTTTTCAGGACAGGGTTTCTCTGTGTAGTTTTGGTGCCTGTCCTGGACTTCTTTTTTTTTTCTTTTTTTTTTCCGAGACAGGGTTTCTCTGTGTAGCTTTGCGCCTTTCCTGGAACTGGCTTTGGAGACCAGGCTGGCCTCGAACTCACAGAGATCCGCCTGGCTCTGCCTCCTGAGTGCTGGGATTAAAGGCGTGTGCCACCACCGCCCGGTGCTCCTGGACTTTTTAACCCAGGCTAGCCTGGAACCCACAGCAATCCTCGTGCCTTATCGTCTGACAGCCTATGTCACCATGTCCAGTTAGTTCCTGAATTCTTTGAGAATTAGTTTGAGGCCTTTTTCAGGAGAGAAAGGGATTTGATGTTCATTTACATTTGGATTTATTTTCTAATTTGAAGATACAGTCCAAATGAATAACATGTTTTATTTCTGTTCCAGCACCATATGAAGGCGGAGTGTGGAAAGTTAGAGTGGATCTTCCTGATAAATACCCTTTCAAATCTCCATCTATAGGTATGTGATGGCTTGGTTTCTATAAGACAGTTCTGAAATCTAAGAGGAAAATAAAAATCTTATATTTTTTGAGAGATGATTAACCCCAAAATTTTTACTAAACTGAAATTTTCCTTTCTTGGCTTTAAAAAAAAAAAAGATTAATTTACTTATTATGTATATGGATCTTCTGTCTGCCTGTATGTCTGCACACTAAAAGAAGGCATGGGGTCCCATGGGCCTACAGTTATGAGCTATCTTCAGAACTAATGCCATGCCTAATCTCCTGCAATTTACACTAACCCCTACTCCAGCAAAAACTATTTTTCTGAAGGTATGCTGTGATCCCTAGCTTCCAAATTTCTGTGTAGGGCAAATAGTGTATTAGGATGATGTAGTGTGTTAGAATGATGACACAACTAAGTCCTGTCAGAAGTTGCAGCCTTGCACTGGTCTCAAACCACTTTACTTCCTGTAGAGTTTGATGTCCTAAAAATGCTAAAGAGCATCTGTCATTCTTTTTTTTTTTTTTTTTTTTTTTTGGTTTTTCGAGACAGGGTTTCTCTGTGTAGCTTTGCGCCTTTCCTGGGACTCACTTGGTAGCCCAAGCTGGCCTCGAACTCACAGAGATCCACCTGGCTCTGCCTCCCGAGTGCTGGGATTAAAGGCGTGCGCCACCACCGCCCGGCCGCATCTGTCATTCTTAAACTGGTGAATTCGTAGTGTTCATCTGAACAATAGGCTGTCCTTTTCCTTCAGGTCCTTAGGGAGGTTTTCTAATCCTGCAGCCCCCAGGATATGTTTATGGATAAACGGGTGAGAAATGATCTCAGTGCTGCTGCAAGAGCCTGCAGGTTGTAGAGATAGGGATGGTAACAGGGTAATTGTGAGCTGTTGAGTCCGATACAGCTCACAGGCACACTGGACGTTAGCCCTATGTGGCTGGGGATCGAAGCCTTTCCACAGCTTCCTTCCACAGTGGCAGAAAGGAGGCGTTTCTCTCTTGAGAGGGCTTTTCTGCTCTGGTTCCCGTGCCTGGTTTACTCATGGGTCTCCTAACTGTAGTGTTTCTTTCTATTGCAACAGTTCAAATATAAACTTTAAAATATTTGTCATAAATACCTATTTAAAGACAGGAAATTGGCATTCCAGGTATAGCTTTGTAACCTTACATTGCTGTTTACAGGAAACAGTAGGGCTGTGGAAGCCAAGAATAAACTATGGGAATGCAGCCTGTGCCGTAGAAATGTAGCTGTTCCTCCAGCTTTAACCTGTTGTCTCAGGCAAAGGGTACATTCCACTGTAGCTTTCTGAACTTTATTCTAAAAGACCTTTTTTCTGCTCCATCGCTGGGATCAGACTCCAGGCCTGGCACATGCTAGGCATGTACTCCACCACTTAGCTGCATGCATCCCCTGCCCTAAAATACCTAAACTAACTAATGACCAAATTCCCAAGTTAATGCCATGGTATAGTTGGTTAAGACAAATGACCAAGTTAATTTAACATTCGTAAGTTTTATTTTGCCATTCTCTATACTTTTTAGAATTTGATACTCTACAAATGAGTATCATCTTCCCTTGAGGAAGTTGATCTAGTTGAAATATTTGTACAAACTGTTCTTTCCTTCAAAGGAGAATTGCATAAGAGTTTTAATCAGTTTGTGAGGTGACCCATTTTCAGGTTGTCAACAACATAATACTGTTAAGATGTTCTGCAAGCATTTGGAGAGGCAGTAGCTCGTTTTAAAAAGGCAAGGCTTAGTTTCTGAGTTGCATAGACATGGAATTAAACAAGGGAAAAAAATGAGATAAACTCAACTCATTGTTTCTTTAAAATCTTTCTCCCATAGTATCTGGCCTGTCTCCTATTCTTGAGTTTAATTTAAGCCCTTAAATATTGAGATATAGAATTGGGATGTGTAGGCCGGGCGGTGGTGGCGCACGCCTTTAATCCCAGCACTCGGGAGGCAGAGCCAGGCGGATCTCTGTGAGTTCAAGGCCAGCCTGGGCTACCAAGTGAGTCCCAGGAAAGGCGCAAAGCTACACAGAGAAACCCTGTCTCGAAAAATCAAAAAAAAAAAAAAAAAAAAAAAAAAAAAGAATTGGGATGTGTAACTTGGTGGCAGGGTGCTTGCCTGGCATGTATGAAGTCCTGAGTTCAGCCCCTAGCACTTAAATAGATAAATAATAATTAAAAAAATCTTTTATGCTTACACTGTGTGTCTGTCTGCCTATGTGTAGACTCAGATAGTCCTTCAATTTGTCCTTTTGCCTAAGCCTCTTGATCTCAGGGATATGCCGTTAATCTTAGCTTGGATTTTAAAATATTTATGAGTATATAATCTGTATGTGTGAGTTAATGTGCAGGTATATATACATGTTGGTGTATGGAGGCCAGATGTCAGATGTCAACCTCAGGTGGTGTTCTTTAGGAACTGTCTACTTGGTTTTTGAGGCAGTCTCTCTCACTGGGACTGAGGTCTCACAGTTAGGCTAGGTTGCCTGGCCAGTGAGCTCCAGGGGTCTGCCTGTCTCTGCCTCCAGTGCTGGAATTAAAAACATGTGCCTCCTAGTACAGTAGTTCTGGCTTATTTTTCCTATTTCTTTTTTCATTTGTAGATGAAATTAGTATGCCTGTTAGCACTGCAGCGAGCTGTTAGTGACCATGTGTAGTTATATAGAGTTAGGCATGCATGAGTAACCAGTTATCACTGGTTATCAGGGAAGAGTCTGGACTTGGTTCTCATTTTTCCATAATACTGACACTCATCTGATCTGTGGTTTCCTTTCTAGAAAATAAGATACTGGATCTTATGTGGCACGCATCTCTAGTTGCAGCTATTCAGTAGGCTGAGATAGGAGGATTGCTTGAACCCACAAGCAATATATATACACACACATATATATCATAAAACGTGAAAAATGAACAGCCAGACTTAGTGGTGCTTACCTGTAGTGTCAGCACTGTGAGGAGGTGGAGGCAGGAGGGTTAGGATTCAAGGCCAGAATGGACTACTAATAATTCCTATTAGAATTAAGTGAATTCTTTGTGCTTGTTGTTAACTGATTCATTGGAATCCCAAATAGTCCTCAGTTCATGAAGATTCTGTTTTAAGCTGAGAAGTTGCGCCACAAGCTCTCATTGTGTACTTCTCCAAATTCCGTTGGTTAGCTATAACTTGTGCTTGGCAGTTAAGAGAAAGCTTCCACCAGTGCAAGGAAAAGATGTGCAGTAGTTGCACAGCTGAGTACATATTCTAAAAGGGCACTACTGTGCACATAAACAACAACAAAACCATTGTATATAAAATGCTTCATTTGTCCTGGGTGTGGTAGCACATCACTATGGAGACAGATAGGTGGATCTATTAGTCCAGTTTCAGCCTGTTCTACGTATCTAGTTTTAGGCCAGCCAGAACTATATAGTAAGTCTCCGAACAACAACAAAATGTTTTATGTGTAGCCAAAAAGAGTAAAGATTTTTAAAAAATTAAGCAATAATTGGTTGAGCTGTAGTGTTTGCAAGCTTGTTTTGTTTTGTGTTGGTAGCTAGTCTAGTAGTATATATGCTTGGTAAAGTTCTTATGTCCTTTGAAATTTTTTTACTTCAAAAATTAAAAACAAAACAAAACAAAAAAAACAAAGTAAGCCAGTCATGGTGGCACACACTTGTAATCCCAGCACTTGACAGCAGAAGCAGAGTGATTAGGAGTTGAAGGTACTCCTGACTATGTAGTGAACTGTACTGAGCCATAGCACAGACCTTTAGATTAGGCTGTCACACCAAAGTAGGATAGTTTAGGTTATCAGACTAATCAAAATCCTTTTTACATTGTCTAATCTGATAAATTTTTAGTTGGAAGCTACTCTAGTAACCATATTTTTATGCTTGTGCCAGTGATTAAGGGCAGTGCACTTCAGTGTTTTATTCACTATGGTCAGCAGTTACCTCACTATTTTAGGATTGACATTTTATAACATAGTGTGACTATCTGTAGAACTTAGGATGCTTAGTTCTAGTTCCTATGTTCCTAGATGGAAATAGTCTATAGTTACTCCCCCAGAACTAATGTGCATAACTGAAGTGAGCAGTAGATTTTCAGGATGGTGAGGAGTGTGTCATGTCTGTCACGAGAGATTTGGGGTTAGTCATTTTTAACAAAGGCTTACTTGGGCTGCCACAGTATTTGTACAAATAAGTGAATTTTTGAGCTAAGGTAGCAACATTCCATTTAGATCACTTATATCCTTCCATACTTTCATGTTCCTATCTCAAATAGCTGTCTTGAATTTCAGTAGAGAAGTGTTAGGAACATTTCATGAACATGTTAAAGTCAATACTGTGAGAATGCAGCTGTGTAATGTCCCCTTGTCACAGGACCTCTGAAAGTGAGTGTGGTCACAGTGTGCATTCATTTCATCGAATTCATTGGATCCTTGCTCTACTGGTGCTTGTAGTCAGAAGTTCTCCTGTGTCCCACCCTGCTGGCTGTCAGGACAAGTCTTTCCCACTTGTGTCCCCCAAGTGAACATACAGAGGCTTATGTTAATTATAACTGCTTGGCCATTAGCTCAGGCTTATTACTGACTAGCTCTTACACTTAAATTAACCCATAATTCTTATCTGTGTTTAGCCATGTGGCTTGGTACCTTTCCTCAGTTCTGCCTTGTCATCTTGCTTTCTCTGTGTCTGGCTGGTGACTCCTGACTCAGCCCTCCTCTTCCCAGAATTCTCCTCTCTGCTTATCTCGCCTATATTTCCTGCCTGACTACTGGCCAATCAGCGTTTTATCAATCAATCAGAGCAACAGATATTCACAGCAAACAGAATGACATCCTACAGCACTTCCCCTTTTCTGTCTAATCAAAAAGGAAGGTTTTAACTTTAACATAGTAAAATTACATAAAACAGTTATCAAGCAAGAATTACAGTTACAATATCTAGTCTATTTGTATTTGGCAAAATGAAAGAAAAATATTCTGTCCTATATTTGTGAGTCTAAGGTTTCATATCTAATT